CTACCGAGGCATTGCGCACACTTGCTTACTTGGGCGGAGCTCTAGCTAGCTGGCTAAGCGTTCGAGGCGCCAACTAGATTTATGGTACCATAGGAGGTAGATATACAGTGCTCCCCGGAGTTAAATTACATATGTACCTCGTTACTCCGTGGATGGCAAATAGATGGGCTCCGGCGTCCCTCCCGAACAGCGATCTTCGGGTTCGGGCTCGGACGTGGGGATGCGGCGGGCATTTAAATGTGTGGGAGGTGGTCTGTGTTTCTGGGTTGCTGGGTCGATTTTTTGGGGTGCCGCGGAGCCCAGCAGCATCCACCCATCCCATGTTGCCATCCATTCTGAACTAGGCATTAGTTAGCCAGTTGGCTACGAGATAATGAGTTAGCTAGTTACCGACCTGCGGAGGAGGGACAGAGGTAGAACGAAGTACCACAAGGCACAATATCTAATGCCCCCTTGGCTTTGCCGTGCGCCCACGCTACGCCCCAATGGCCTTTCCCTGTCCCATAATATTCCGTATAAATATATATATATCATATATCTTCACACCGCACACTGTGTCCCACGACACCTGCTGAACGTGCTACATACACACATATATTTATATTAGTGTGTGAAAGGCAATCAATTGCACATCATTGCTGCCCTCTCCGAACCCACCAGGTACTGTAGCCTATTACACAGACACAGAGCACAGAATTCTCTCCAGGAGGCGGTTTTGTTGCTTTCCTTCCCGACCCCATCGTCGATTTTGAACTTTGAATTTTTTTTTTTTCCGCCGTACGTCCTTGAATATCTTTTGGGGGTGTTTATATGTATAGACGAGACTGAAAGGCTGCTCGACATCGTTCTCACGTTGCAAGACAGAGAAATACAAGACGAAACAAGACAAGACAAGACAATAAGACAAGACAGAGAGTGGCCGTTGGTTTTCTCTGAGCCGTCGCCGTCTACTACGGAGCAGCACTCTGTGGTCTGGAGACGAAGGAGGAGCGAGCAGTGAGTTCCTTGACCGCAGCGAAGAAGGGGAAGAAGAGCAAGCAAAAACACCCGAGGAAGGAAATCGAAGAAGTCTGGCAACATGGCACAGCATCAACAACATCCCATCCCGCGGAAACTGTGGGAGCATCCGGATCCCGAGAGCACCGATATGTGGAAGTTCAAGCTGAGCTTGGAGAGGGTCAGTGGGCGCAAATTCGAGGTACGTTTACCCTTTGCGGACCTCTTGTGGTGTTTGTCGTTCGCTTGTTCATTTCGAGCGGTCTATGGACCGAACGGGGGATGCGGCCTCTGGGCATGGACCAGGAGATGTGGGCCAGCGTGGGAACATTGCCCCTCCTTACCTGTGAGGAAGAGGAAGAGGAAGATCTCTGTTGGCGGCAGTATGTGATTTCACATTCACGACCCCTACTGACTCGGATTGTCTACACTCTCGCAGAACTACGACGCCTTGTACAATTACTCGGTCACCCATCGATCTGCCTTCTGGCGCCACGTCTTCGAATACTTCCCCATCGTCTACTCCGGCACCGTTCCAGATCCCGTGGTCGACGAATCAGCCAAAATGGACTCGATCCCGCGCTGGTTCACCGGCGTGCGCATGAACTTTGCCCAGAACATCCTCTTCTCCGGCGATGAGAACGGCCGTCCGGTCATCGACGCGGCTAAGGCGGATGATAAGATTGCCTGCACCGAGGTCCGCGAGGGCGTCTTCCTAGAGCCTATCAGACATGTCACCTGGAAGGAACTGAGGCAGAGAGTTGGAAGGTTGAGCCAGGCAATGAGGGCGCACGGGGTGAAGAAGGGAGATAGGATCGCGCTCGTGGCGAGTACGTGTCTTGATACACTGACAGTGTTTCTCGCGACTACTACGCTGGGGGCCCTTTTCAGCAGTAGTTCGACAGATATGGGCGTCAAGGGTATCCTGGATCGACTCACCCAGATCAAGCCTCGATATCTGTTCATGGATGACTGGGCCGTGTACAACGGCAAGAAGATCGATCTGCGGCCCAAGATGAAGGACATCATGACCGGGATGCGAGCCGTGAATGAGTTCCAGGGAATCATTTCGCAAGCTCGCTTCCAGCACTCACCGGCCGATATTTCAAGTGTGCCGAGAGCCACGACGTGGGCGAGCTTCATCTCTGCCGCAAAGTCTGATAACTTGGAGTTTGAGAATACCGATTTCGCAGATCCGTTTCTGGTCGTATATTCCTCCGGGACGACGGGGCAGCCAAAATGCATTGTCCACGCGATTGGAGGAGTCATCATCTCGGGCCACAAAGAGTACAGGTTGCACCGGTGCATCAACGCGAACTCGAGCCAACTGCAATACACGACAACGGGATGGATCATGTATTTGGCTAGCGTGCAGGCTTTGATCACGGGATGTCGAATGGTGATATATGACGGAAGTCCTTTTGTGCCTAACTTGACGAATCTGTTGAAGTTGGTCGGGCAGGAGAAAGTGACGCATTTGGGCATCAGTCCAAGATACTTACAAACTCTGCAGACCAACGGTGTCATACCTAAGAAAGTGGCGGATTTGAGCAATCTCAAGGTCATCACCAGCACGGGTATGGTATTGTCGGATCAGCTATTCGAATGGGTCTATGACGAAGGGTTCCCGCCTTCAGTGCAGTTGGACAACATCTCTGGTGGAACTGACCTCGCAGCATGCTTTGGGACTGGCAATCCAATCCTCCCGCTGTACGTTGGGGGCTGTCAGTGTTTTTCTCTGGGTGTCCCTGTCAAAGTCTTTGATCAAACCATCGAGGGGGGTCAGGGGGTCGAAGTTGAAGATGGGGTGCCAGGCGAATTGGTCGCGTATCAAGCGTTTCCAACCATGCCTGTCACGTTTTTGGGAGACAATGGTCCACAGCGGTACTTCGACAGCTATTTTGCGCGCTTTGACAATGTCTGGACACATGGCGATTTTATCATGATCCATCCAGTCACGAAGCAAGTCATGTTCTTGGGCCGGGCTGATGGTGTGTTGAACCCCAGCGGCGTGCGGTTTGGTTCTGCCGAGATATACAGCATCATCGAAGCCAAATTTGCGGACAAGATTAGCGACAGCATCTGTGTCGGGCAAAGGAGACCAAAGGACCAAGATGAGAGGGTAGTTTTGTTCTTGTTGATGAAACCTGGTCACCAATTCACGCCACAGCTCGTCAGTGAAGTCAAGGAGGCCATCCGAAAGGCCACCAGCCCCAGGCATGTGCCCAAATTTGTCTTTGAGACAAAAGAGATTCCGGTAAGTTCCATGCGTCAGGCATATTAGTGACGATCGGCTGACATGACGGGCTCTCCAGACGACGGTCAACTTGAAGAAGGTCGAATTACCTGTGAAACAGATCGTGTCGGGCAAAGTCATCAAGCCTTCTGGCACGCTATTGAACCCAGAGAGCCTGAACTATTACTATCAGTTTGCGAAAGACGAGAACCTGGTCGATCTGACCGAGCCAAAGGCAAAACTGTAGTGCGGTTGCAATGGAGGTTCAAACCAGGATACGGCAGAGAAAGGAGAACCCATAGATGTAGACTGGGCAATGCTCGAGCACAGCAACTCGGCAGCTGCAGGAGCAAGTTCGTGCTTGCCACGAGATGGCTATTTTTTAGCGGCGAAGTTTTGTCTCGGTCGTGTAGGTTGCATTCTCGAGACCCATGGCAACCACAGGCGACCATGCCCAGCGGTGACGTGCTTGGACCCCAGCAACTGAATTTCACGGACCTTTTGTCCATATCCTTTACAGCCGCATTGATGGGGAAGGAGTCTTGTAGCAGCAGTCTTCGTCGCAGAAATTGTTTGAGGCAGCTTCAATTGAAGCCCAGAGCCAGAGAGGACACGGCGGTAATGTCATGTCATGTCGCGCTCCCGATGAGGTGAGACAAGTGCGCTGCGACATTCTGGTGTCAACCACGTCCTCGTCGCCGGCGTGGTGAAGCTGGCCATGCCTGTGGCCGGCAACGTGCATAACGACGACTGCTGCGCCAAAGGATTATGATTGTCATCATTAGGCGACTCCTTTCTGGCGTCGACTGGCAGTGGTTTGTGGTTTGTCGGCACAGTGAGAGGTAACTGAAACTCTTGGCCCGCCAAGCCAGTCAATGGTCCCGGCCAGTGGGAGGCGCGTTGAGTGATTCCGATCGAGGTCAGGTCGAAGCGAGGTGAAAGTGAGAGTTGATCATGATTATGGTAGTCGACTGACGGCGAGGACAGAGGACATCTACATAGCTACAGCACCGCCCTCGTCCGGGCTCTGCATCTGCTCTAGACAGTAAGGAGGTCTCGAGATATGTGGTGATTCAGTGAACGATAAACGGAAATTACTCGTCCTGATCATTCACCTTCCCGTCGGTCGCGTCTCTGCTCTCACAGCTCCACTTTGACGCGTCCCCCATCAACACCATCTTGCCCGTCCTCTTATCCTCATCCCTCTTCCCTGTCTCTTCACAATCTGCACTTCACTTTGCCGTTGCCGGTCACGCCCCAGCAACCCAATCGCTGCCTCAGGACGCGTTGTGATCGCCTTCATCTGCTCACCAGCCTGCAGTAGCTCGCCACACTAACCCTGCTGCCCTCGTCAACTTGACCATCTCCTCCCTCATCCAGGATCTCGCGTTCGAACATAGACCCCACGTCCAGAACGGCTCCCTAGACTGCGCCAGCTTGGTCATAGCGCCTGGTAAGCTCCCACGACTGCCATATACCCTCTTCCTCCGCTCTCCTGCTGCCAACATTCCTTCCTCTCACAGCTCTCTGAATGAATTCTCATGCGTGATACATCTCCACCAAGACCAACACAACTGATAATACTAGAGTTGTCATCAAGCATTGGCCTTGTGGATTCACTCCAAGTACGCTTTCAGTAGCTCGCGTCCTTGAATTCACTCGAGTTAACAAACACCTGAACAAGGCTGAGGGCACAATTACCAAAGTCCTCCATCCACACCTTGCCTCCTTTCCTCCCCACCATTCATCTTACATCAACTCCGTTAAGATGGCTGCTCTGGCTCCAATTACCACTCCTGCTCGTCAGCCATTTGGGATCGTGAATGAATCAAAGCTGAGAAGCTTACAGAGCTTGAAAAATCGACAGAATGGTAAGCCTCGTTCGTTTCTCGCATCCAATCTTGGCTTTCGCTCCGTTCCATTCGATGGAGATACAATAAGCTAATGTCTATCCTCAGCCATCACACCAAACTCTGCCCCGACGTCATTGAAACGACGAGCCGTCTCTCCCGATTTCGAAGGAGGTTCAGATGGCGAGAACGTTGATCCAAATATCCTGGACTCCTTACACAAACGTAAAAGATCGACTTTCGACAGGGACGTATCACTTGCAAAGACACAGCGGTACTCCTTGAACGTGACTGCCCTCCCGTCCTCCAAATCTCGTTCTAGTGCCACTGTTGCCTCGACCCCACGACTTGATACATTTGTTAAGCCCTCTACTACACCCGCCTCGGCACCTCCAGCAGGCCGTTCGCCAACACGTGAACGCTCTGGTCTTCTTCGGTCACGGAAACGTTTCAATGCACCTCCATTCTCCAGCTCCACCCAATCTCCATCTCTGTCCCTGTCCGCCGCATTGAATGGCACGAAGAAATCGCGTCTACAATCCCGCAAGCTCAAAAGTGCGACAATCGAAACTAGCAAGCCAAAATCATGGTTCTTCGACATATATGAAGAGACTGAGGAGATCCAAGACTACCGCATGAACGAATGGACCATGACACAAAGCACGACGGGACTGGATCTCAGTGATGACGAAAGCAAGAGTCTACACAAGAAGTCGTCGTCTGCCGATAGAGGCAAGGAGAACATTGATCCCAACGAAGTAACCGCCCCCGTAACTAGGTCCATGACTGCTGCTGCCAACGCCACAGCGACTGCCGGAAAGGCCAAGGGGAAAGAAGTCAAGATGGCCGACAACGGTGAAATAAGAAGCCCGCTGGCGGATCTTAACCCCGTGGAATTCTATGCCGAAGGTCTCGATGCCACCAGTGTGGTTCTCGTGCAAGACGAGGACGATGAGGCAGAAACTGACGTGGAAGGCGAAGAGACTAAGCAGCGTCATGACTTTACCTTCCAACCTTCTACCACCAGCGGTTCACTGTCGTCGACCGCGAAGGTCATTGAAGATCTCTGCACGCCGAGCTTCGCTCAGATATCGAGCTCTGCCACGCCCAGTTTACTTGCCGATGCACTAGTTGTCAAGGCTGGAACCACTGGCTGTCTTTTTACTGACGCCCACTCTGCACGTGCCGATGCTGATGGTGACGTTGAAATTGAAATCTGGGAAAGTGAGAGTGCCAAGGACGAGAGCGAGAAGGCTGATCTTCAGCTCGAGAATGCTGTCGACGTGGGAAGTCCGTGCTCATCGGTTGGTGACCAGAATGTGTTTGCCCTGCAGGAGCTGTGAACAAGGCCACTTTCCTTTTTCTGCCATCTGTTGCGAACATGTCGACCTAAGTGTGTCGTACTAGCTCTGTGTTTGACACAATCTCGACCAGGCCTCAACTTTGCTATGAGGTGAATAATGCTGCCAGTCCAAGCCACATCGAGCTTGATCACATCCTCTTGTATTGTCACTGGGGGCTTCAGATCAGAAGACGACAAGGATCACAACGCCGCCTCTCCCGTGGCTGCCCTGATGTCTTGTCGACGTGATCAGTAGCTCTTAGCTCTCCCTCGCTCGGGTTCGCATACATGGCGCTCAATAGAGCTGATCTCTGGGGTGTCTCAACAGATCCTGTTTTGTGGGTGACAATCCGGGTCCCGCCGTCATTTTCAACTTTTGTTGTGCCGATCGAAGATTTGTCTTTGGCATGTTGTTCATGTGTGGTTATGTCGATTTTGTTCTGTTCTGTTCTGTTCGCGCTTAGGCTCATCGACTTTTTTTTTGGTGCTTTTCAAGTCATGGCGTTCCATGACGTGTGGGATACAGATTGAATGACGGCTGCCGAGCTGTGTGGTGTACCTACCTTGGCCGGGCCGTTCAGGAGGAGCTATCATCGGCACTGACGTCCCCTCATATCCTAGGATAGGCGAGATTTGTTACTAGTGTCCTTACACTTTGTCCTGTAGGTATGTGCCTGAGGCAGATTGGTAATGCGTCGAGATAGACGGAGCCAACGCAATGAATGCCCAAGCATATCCTTACCAAGTATGCATGATTCGTTACCCATTGCCATAATATCAGACTTGCATTTGCACTTCCGCTTGTGGAATTCAGGCAATAGCGTTCCATTGATCTGGTTTTGATTTGATGGCAGTGTTACCGCACTGCAGTACACAGTACTGCATGTCCTCTCCAGCCGTCGAAAGAAAGCTCCATGCCTCTCTGGGGCAGGCCTGCATACCCTTTTCCCATCTCTACCTATCCTGCTCTGTGCGTACGTAACAGAGCACTTCTGGGTTCGGCACGCACGTGCAACAACGCACAGAGGCCTGTCCAGCAGGTCGGGAATCGAGAAAGCGTTTCTGGTTGATGCTGAGAGGGCAACACCACCACCAACACCACCCTCAGAGAGGCAGCGGCTAGGGCAGCGAGCGCCTAGCACGGCGACGGGGCATTGAGAAGTAGGAAAGGGCCGATAAAACCCTCAGGAATAGGTAGACGGCATCCAAAACATGGAATACTCTATTAAACTATAAAGAATGGTACTCTGCCAGCACTGTGAACTGTTCGCCACTCCCCCTTGGCCCTTTTCCGTTTAATATGTGACTAGACAACTCTCTGTCCTGCTAACCCCCATACCATCCCAGCACAGCTACTTTACCTTGTTACAATATATATATATATATGTCTTCTTGGAGATTCGTCTATCTCCTCAGTATATGTATACACGCCCTTCCGCACATGTGGCTTGCTTGCTCCCGCGTATACTCGGTGATATGTGATAACATGGGCATATATATATGTGTGTGTGTGTATGTATTGGTATTTACATTGATGTCAACATTAACGTCGACACCAACGGCGTCATCGGCCCAAACCAGCAAGCTCGTAAGGAAAGAAAGGGGCCATTCCCCATCGACCATCTCCCATGTTTCCGGTATAGTATATTCATCCCAGATCGAGGCCTCATAGATAATCGCACTCATAGTCACAGCCGCATTCACAGTGGTCGTCGCCGTCGCCGTCGCCTTCGACGCCCGCATATTCGTTTGAGCCGCCCAATCTGCCTGCTCCGCCTCCTCTTCCACTTCCAGTGCTTGTGCGCAAAAAAGCCCAATGTTGGCGGTGATGATGATGGCGCGCTGAGAGTCTGTCATTGTCGCCGGCACTGGTGCTGTCGCCGTCGTGGTCGCCGTGGTCGTACTCTGCATCGTCGACATCTCCGTCTTCCGCGGTCGCGCCGTGGCCGAGCTCGTTAGCATTGTCGTCGCCACTGTCGCTCTCAATGTCATTCCGATTCTCATCTGGTCCTGAGCTCGTCAGGGATCCGGCATCACTTGCGCCATGTTCGGCGGGTTTGACTTGCCTTCCTGAACTCGCCGCGGCAGTGCGGTGTGCTTGGGTACCATCATCCTCATCCTCACGCTCCGCTTGGTCTCCTATTCCTGCTCTCGCGACAGCCGCGTCTGGCTCGACAGTGGTTGACCAAGTTGGCTCCGCGTGGCGTATCGCGTCCTCACCACTCGCAAGCACCCCGGACAGACCACTGGCCATCCCCTCTAGTTTCTTTTGCTCGTTAGACAGCGCGCTGTCGTTAAATGAGGACGGGGCCTCCATGTTCTCTCCTTCGCTCACCGTGATACTCCCATTAGCATATTCCCTGGCCTGCCTTAGGTTCTTCTTTGCTTTTGTTGTCTCACATTTTTTTGGCATCTTCTCATCCCTCCATTTGACCACGTCCGCAACTGCCTGCCCGGGACACTTCTTCCTGACCAAGAGGAAGCCTTGGATCTCCGCTGGCGACAAGGCCCGTTCAGGAAGAGAGTCAGCGAATCGCTCCGCAAGGTCCACCACTGAGCTGCCGTCGAAAGACTCCCCTGGTGATAACCGTGGCTTTGGATCGTTGTTATTACCAAGGTGGCCGACGTGACTGCTTTCGACATCGCCGCTCTTGAATGTAGGTGCACCTGGCACTTCGGTCTCTGGCCTGCTCGGCAATATCTGACTGATCCTCGCCGGCTGCCGCGTCATCTCGATTGAGTCAACGCAATACATGCGAAGAAAGAGGTCTTTGATCTGCTGCTTAGTTGCCAGGTCAAACTTGATGGTCAAATCAATCCGACCAGGCCGGGTGAGGGCTTCATCCAATCTTTCCAGGTGATTGGTCGTCATGATGAGGACTCTGCCCTCCTGACTTGCGACACCGTCTATGGCATTGAGAAGGCCAGAGAATGTCAGTGTGTTTTTGAATGTTGGTTCTTTCCCAAATGCATTGGGCTGACCTACTACCGTGGGCGGCGGGACGCCAGCAGATTTGTCTTTGGCATCTTCATCCTCAAGGGACTTCTTCTTTCTCTGTGTACCTTTGCTGGACGGCGACTGATTGGTCGTTTCTCGCTTTTCCGCGTCCTTCGCTCCCGGCGCCCTGCCTAGGCCAGCACTATCAATGTCCTCAAGGAGTAGGATACATCGCTTTGGCAGGCTGTTGAAGAGCAAGACCAAATCTTCTTCAGTCAGCGTAGCTTCGGACAGCGCGAGGCAATAGATGTCAAGTCCAAAAACCCCGGCAAGAGCAAACGACAACGAGGTCTTGCCGGTCCCTGGCGGACCATGAAAGAGGTAACCTCGACGGTAGGGAATCCCTCGATTGCTGTACCATCGCGCCGTTCGCGGGTGCAAAAAGTCATTGAAATCTTTCAAAATGGCCGCCTTTTGATCGTTGTCCAGCACAACCGTGGCCATGGACCTGCTGGGTCTGTTTGCGATGGTGGTCCAAGCTTGTCCGCGTCCAGATCTCTGAGACTTTGGGGTAGGGCGCTTAATCGTGGTCGTGGACGTCCGACGAATAAGGTGGAATTCCCGGGCTTCTTGGATCATGCTCTTGATTGGCTTGGGAGACAACCAGATAACTGATATTTCCAGCCGCTCTCTTTCGTACACGGCGCCGGTAAAGTCGCTGGCGACACGATCGCGACTGCGGTACAACCGGAACAGGCGGCAATTATGGAAGAACCAACCTGACGAAGAATGCGGTCGGAACGTCGGCGGGGCCCGGGCAGACCAGTTGTTGAAGTTAAAGATGGTATCTTCCGACATGCCTTCCCGGATCCGCATCTGGTGGTTGTCATCTTCTCCGTAATCTTCCAAGTCGTCGTAGTATTGTCCTGCAGTGTGGGCTCGGAGGGAGCGGATATCTTGTAAATATTTTTGGGCACTGGCCCAATTGAGGACATGATTGTAGATGGGGTCGTATTCTTCCACAATCACCGACGAGCTGAGCGCTTTCACAATGAATTGGTAGGCAGGTATCAGGCCGAATCGGAGTGCAGCCCATACTGTGGCAAGGATGGCACTCCACGAGACAAACAGAGAGATGTCGAGGCCGAATCCGAGCAGGAAGGTTGCGAGGTGAGAAGAACCTGGCACTAATGTATCGAGCACAGTGAGCGGAAGGCGGATAGAGCCAGAAGAGACATTGGCATGAGACTGATTAGAAAATGCCATGTGGAGTTGAGCGAAGTCGTGCAAAGAAGCCATTCTGGATAGTAAATGAGAGACAAAGGAACGTGTAAAAGACGTTTAAATAATGATAACTCGGCTCATTCCAGGCACACGCGGTGGGTTTATGGGAGGCTTGGGAACTCGTATGTTATGGACTTCAGGCTGACAGTCACTCTCACCTTTTTACCTTTTCATAGAATCATTTTCAAGTGGAGTCGTTCGCTCCCCTCACAGTCATACGGGGCACGCCTGGGTGGGAGCCTGCAGAAATCTAATACCTGGATAGGTAACAATGCAGAAGGAAGCGGGACGCGACAGAATTGGCCTGTTCGTCTGAGCCGCTGAGCCGCATGATCCACAGAGCTCGCGTGGAAGCGCGGGATGGAGGGATGGTCCATTGCGGCAGGAACTGGCTCCCTTCACCGGTCAGACATTCGTTGCGACCAAAGGTTTGGGTGTTTTCCTTCATGATGGTATACACGAGATTTGCTTAGAAGGGAAGGGTTATTCTGTGCGACAAGGCTGCGTCAAGATCTGAGAGCAGCGATGTGAAGAGCGCAGTAGGAAGGCCAAAGAGGTGCAGAAACGGGGCAGTTGGTGAAGCTACAGCAGCAAAACGGCGAGTGAGGCTGAAGGGTGCAAAACTCCATTCACAGAGAGATCTCGAAGGGGCAAGTCCGCCGAGGGGTGGGCACGTGTCCTCACTGCGCGGTGGGCGCAGTGCTTGGCAGTACCTACCAGTACAGTACTTGAAACAAAGTACCCCCGACGCCCTGTACTAGATCTCTACAAGTACAAGTACAAGTCGGTGCACAAACCTAGTTACCCACGTGCGACAGAAGCTCCGGAACCGGGTTCCGGGCCGTTGTCTCCTCTGGCGCCACCTGCGCGTCATCACACCACTCGATAACGAGTCGAGGCTGCAAATACAAAGTACTTGTAGGTACTCGCGACCTGTAAGGTAGTCCGGGCTTGCCATCCTTGCCATCCTTACAGGACTGCACCATCTTGCAGTCCAGAGGGCCGGCTGGAATGGTTCCTATTATTCCATCTCCCATAACAGAGCCAAGGGATAAAACTATTAACTGGATATGGTTCCTCCCCCGTAGATAGACAGTTCGCTGACCCCAAACTGAACGGAATAATAACATTGACGAGAAAATCCGCCTGGACCGTTTTGCTCTTGCCTTTGAAATCCAACATGCTTTGTCCTGTGTACCGTCAAACTCAATGGGTATCTCAACGCGCCGAATACATCATCGCCAATGAGTGAAGCTGATACCTCTGTACATATTACCTAGCCTTGCCACATTCCCATGCTTCATAATCTCATATTTTTCATCATATAATCAGCGGCCGTCTCGAATCTCGTTTGCTCTGCATTGTTGGCCCTTGCCTAGTCCAGTCGTTGAAATTCCCCATCAGGATGGAGAGACTCCTCCCACCCCATCGCTGCAAAGTAGGTGCGCCGCGGAAGCCCGTAGACAATGTCTTGATCCAAGTCAAAGGGACTCTGGATTGGGTGCGCAAAGAAATAGGCGCCGTTGAACTCGGAGGCCTTGCTGGAGACCCTCAGAAGAGCTCTTAGCCTCTTGTCGGCCATCTCATGCTGCCGACGACCGCTATGCCAAAAATCCTTCAAGCCTTCCAACACAGGGATGGCACTCGCAATCAAAGCCATGATTTGGCTCTCGTGGCCCATCAGACCTGACACCGGTCCTGCCGCGGTAATGACGTCCAACGCCGCTGTGATGGCGAATCCACTAAAGGGACTCAACGTGACAAATTGTAGGGACGGGTTGTGTTTGCCGTCCCCGCGCTCAGCCAGTTGTTGTATCAATTGCAACAACTGACGAGCATGGTCATATACTTGTCTTGCACAGACGCTAATCCGCAGCTGGTCCATCTCCGCATGGTGAACGTAGCGGTTCAGTATCATGATGGAATAATGATAGAGAATGTGGAAGCCACTGGGCTTTTCTCGTCCATCTCGACCTTGGCGGACGTGTTTCTTGATGTGTTGGTCCCACGTCTTGAGCCGACCCACGATGTCCTGGCGGAAGGCGTCCATCACCACCCGATCTTTCGCTGGAGACTGAGCTCTCCCCCTGCCAATGGTGCTCATGACCTCGTTGAAGATGGCCGCTATCTCTACCAGATAGCCAAAAGCGCCGATTTCTGAGGATTCGCGAGGGGAACGAGGGGAACTGGGTTGACTTTCTGTGGAATTCTTGGGCAGTTGAAAAATAAGCGGTGTCAGGGGGACGTTCCCCATCTCGTAGGCGGCCTCGGGACACGGCAGGCGGAGGTCACAATCAGAACGGCTGACGGTAGCCACGGATGTAGACCAGCAACGACTAAAGCTGTCCATCAGGTATGCTGACCAGAACGTCCTGCGCCTGCATTCGACCAACATTTCATGGCCTAAGCCAAAATCAGATGCTTCCTGACCTTCCATCGTGGAGACTCCCTCCTCCGTGTGGTATCTCAGACCAACAGCGGTTCGCACGGCAGAACCACAATGGTCACCGGCCTGGTTGTACTGGCCCTGGGAAAAAGCGAAAAGAGCCAAGATGAGTTTGGTCTGGATCAGCTGCAAGCTGAACATGTCCCCGTTCTTTATAACAGCTTTGTTCACGATTTCGAGAAACACATCTTGATGGTGCTTCGATTCTGGTTTCGACGATGCAAAGACGGTTCCCATTGCCAGAATTGCATACAGCAACATCTGGTCAGCCAGTGACTTGGTGCGGCAAGTCCGGATCCATTGCTGGAACATTTCTTTGGGTAGAATGGAATACGTCACGCTGTCAACGTACTCGAAATATTTGTCGGTGTAGTGCATCGTCAAGCTGCGGCTTAATTGATAAGGGTCCACGTCCCAAGAGAAGTTGGCTGTGGCTGAAGGCGAGGAAACGGAACCTCCAAGAGATTCTGCACCCGAACTAGCGGACACCTGGCCTTGTGATCTAGGGCGAGGAGATGGGGAGATACGAGGCCTCTTTGTTGGTGGTGCGTTATCTAACCCGTCCTCGCGGTGATTATTCTGTTTATCGGAAACGGGAGAAAGCATGTTGTCCTTTCGCGGTATTGACGCCCTCGACACGGACTGAGGGTATGTATACTCCTGAGGGGTGTAGCCGTCATGGATCCGGTTGATGCCTGTGAACGGCGAGGTTGGAGGTATCGACATCAGATAGCCTGATTGCCGCACTGAAGTACGTGGTCTATGCGGAAGACGTCAGCACACCGAAAAGTAGGGAGAAGACGGGATGGCTTACGCTGAGCCAAGCGTGCATTCACGGAAATTGTTCTTGCACATGGTGCATTTAGGCAACTTAAAGTCACATTTCATCATTTTCTCCCGGCAACCATCGCAGGCCTGCCCCGTACGCTTTCTTAGTTTGTTTGCTTTGATGGTGCTCCATGTGGAGTTGAGGCCGTCGCCATCGACGTCCCTTGAACAAATCGTGTTACCCTCGTTGGTGTGGCAGCTACCTGACCCCTCAATGACATCTTCTTCCACAGTGGCACGACCAGGCCCAGAATCGATAGATGAATTTATCGCTGAAGGGCCAGACGTGGTGGGTTGAATTTCTGAACGACCCGTAGTCAGGTAGGACCAGACCGGACGATTCATGGTGTGAGACTGGGCAGGTATGGGTGCATGTACGTCGGAGTTTGCAAAGGTATTTGATTGAGCGGCATGTTTGACCATGGAGTCACTGCTGGTCAATGAGTGCTCCCTTGTCACTTCTTCCAGGCGGGGCTGGCCAAACACATTTGGATTGCTGGCACCGACCAGGAGGGAACTAAATGGTGGTAAACTCTGTCGTCGAGAATAGGGATCTCCCGCCGGCGGCTGAGCCATCGGGCTCGGCAGCAGGCGTGACGAGTCTGCTGGGGTTCGACAGAGCGGTGGTAGGGTTGGTTCAGGATCGTGCCACTCTTGCACTCGCGATTCCAGAGGTAGCACAGCGCCCGTTGCCATTGGCCCACTTTGCCGTTGGCTGCTATGAGCAGTCTCGTTGACAAAGGATGCCCACTACTCTCGGGCACGCTGTCTTTCCAACTCGGACGAGCGCGGTCCGTCGAGCAGCGGAAGGTTCCGAGTACGGCTGGAGTGAGGGCGAGAAAAAAGGGATACGTGGTGATGTCGGCAACGTTGCTTGCCCCCGATTTCTCCCAGAATGCTGCCCACAAGGAGTCCTAGCAAGCTGGGTTCCCACGAGACGTACTGTTGTCCTTCAGAGCCAGGCACCAGTAAATTCCCAGGGCATGCCTCATGGCAAGAAGGCCGCCTGGACGGTGCCCGAGAGTCACACAACAGTTGATGGATCGAATTCAGCAGAGGATGGCTGTTGATGCAGATATTGTGCCACCCTGGATGTGCTGCCCTGTAACGTATGCTGCAGTTGATTTCTGGATCCGGAATCCCGACGTGGTTTACGGACCGGCTGATTGCTGCTGAGGAGATATGGCAGGTCCAGTAGATGTATTGCAATAGGCGAGCCGTTGGAAACAGAGATCCAATTGATGAAAGAGACTGGGGCAATAACTTAATCCTGCCTGGTATAAGGTACAAGACGGAGTCGGACTTTGTGTATGTGTAACTCGGGGATCTTTTTCCACGTTCAAAGACTTTTTGGAGCAGAGATGGAACAAAAGGAAGTGGAGAAAAAGCCTGGGAAGAACACAAGCACACTGACAGATGTCAAAGTCAGCGAGAAACTCTGTCGCGTGCGGTGTCAGCGTGGAAGAGGGGGTTCGTTATCTACCTAGGCAGATACTGGATAGCGCTGCTCTGGCCAAAAAACGGGGTTCAGATCAGATGAGATTTACGGGAGGCCAAAAGCGAAAAAAAAGGTCCTTGTCGTCAACAGTTCTTGAGAGTTGAATGCTGATTTGTGGTATTCTCTGGAGGGCGGACAGGTCTAAGAGACTAGACCTAGGCGTCTGGGATCGGACGGTTAGGAGTCAATGGGGGATGGCGGCCTCGTGGGCCGCTCGCATCTGTGCGCTCGTAACCTGGGGGC